CCCCCCCCCAGGTCAATGAGCAACACCCCCCGCACACCAAAGTACCCGCTCTTCTCATGCATGCCCCCCACGCACCGTGCATCCAGAGGAGAACCCCCTTGTAAGCGAGCGATCGGCCGGTCGTGCCGCTGTGGGGGACGTAAACCCTGAGGGGAATCTCGCCCCCCTTCACGGGGATAGTGACGTCATGCACCTGTGGCCCGTGATTTTTCGAAAGGGAGGCAACGACGACGACGACGGGAAGGAAGGCAGGCATCGATCGGTGTTCGAGAGATGGTTGTATGTGCACAAAACGGCAACACCAGAAGCGGGCTAGGTTATCATAGGCCGCATGGCCTGTCTTCCCCCAAGGAAGAAAGCACAAGATGACGAACAACCCTTAGCAGGATGCAGCAGCTCACCCTTCAAGCGACTTGCCGAATGAATACCTCACGACGCTTCGTGCTTCGTGGTATGAGAGCCTGGTCCGGTCAGAACCCAGTGTGCTCCGTCGCGGCTTTGTAGGGATTCGAGATCAACAGTGTAACGACTACGACATGCACGACGATGAGTACCTCCCCCCACCCCCCCTCGTTGGCACCGAACTACTGCTGTCCCTTCTTCCCTGTCTCAGACGGATGCTTCCGAGGAAACCCTGGGATTGAGCTGACAAGAAAGCAAATAAAGTAGAATATAGAAAAAGCCCCAGGTGGTGATATGGTGATATGGTGATATGGTGATATCGTGATGTTGGGTTGTTGGGACACGCCCGTGCCCCGAACACTGATCGCTTCGCGTTTCGGGGGGTAAGAAAGCGATCATCCGGCCAGCTATTAGACAGCATTCCTGGCGCGCTTCACGCTCTTCCTGAAACGCTAGGGGGGTCGCCTGTCTTCTCAATAAATCGGACGCGCGAGAGTTGCGACTTTTCACGGCATTCCTCTGCTTATACGGCCAAACGCACACGGCAAGATCTTCCAGGACATCAACAGGTACAGTCCCCCCCCCCCCCCCCCNCCCCCCCCCCCCCCCCCGTCTGTCCTCTTGAGGACGGGGCGTGGTCAATGTCTCTCACTACTAAGGCATGCAAAACATGACTGCACGCCCCGCTGTTAATTAAGAGACATGGGTTATCATTTACACATTGGTTGGTTTGTTCACCTCTGCCATGTCTTCTGCCAGCATCCTGGTCCCCATGGCCATCAGCCTTGCGGCGTCGTCTTTTCTCGCTTTCATGGCCTCCTCCGGCGTCTCGTGGGGTGCTACGGAGAAGTGGGACGGGTTGAAAATGGTCCGGAAATAGGCTGTCTCGAACAAGCGAGACATGATCCACTGCTCCAGAGACACCTCCCTGTTGTGTGCGGGAGGGGG